ATGCTTTACCACGCATTTTAAATTTAAAAGATAAAAAGAATGTGTGAGATTTATTTTAAATGAATTTATCTTCACCGTTTGCCTATGTTACTTATTCTGTACCTTCTCTGCAAAGAAGAACGGTCATCTATGACCCAGACTTGACAGATTTTTTTGTTGTTTTTATACTGTTAAATTATATATTTTTTATATTCGAAATCAATGGTTAACACCAAAATATTGCCTTATGTTTTTGTTCAGGCGATACACAAAAAAGAAATACAAAATACCTATTTATCTACAAAATTCGTAATTAAATGATCATACAATAGCTATGGGATGTATCTAGGTCACCTGGAGATGCAGCTGGATTATGTAATTTTTAAACTTTTAGTACTAACAGTGGTAGAGCCACGCGGCAGCTTTTGCTGTCGCACGCATGGGCCGGCTCGAACCGGGGTGGTACCACGATCTCACAGAATACCAGCGTGAAGTAGAGGTTTACCTCTGCGTTTCGCTTGGTGAGTGCAGGTGGCCGGAGGCCCTTTTTATTGGAAATGAGGCATTCCATCTTAGTCGCAAACGAGGATAGATGTAGATGTCGATGGGCCGCAGCAACCACTTACCATCAGGTGGACTGTGTGCTCGTTTGTCACCCTTATCCTATAAAAAAAAAAACAACAATCAACTAGGATTCATTAAGTTTGATGAGAATATAAATGGTATAAACGCTATAACAGAATATTACTGCTCGTGCTGCCATGGTAAAAGGACATTGGGCAGTTGCTGACACCTCATTAGTGTTGTCTAGTACTTCAGGTGGGCTAGACATCGAGATCACTTTGACTACCCCGTACTGAGTATGGATTATGTTTTAAGGGACATAGAAATTCAACAAAACTTTATTTCGACATATTGGTTTTTTTTTTGTTATAGATCATGGAACCCCAATGATAGGTACCTAAATCTCTGATGTGCAATGAATCATCGAATACAACGATTTTAATGAATCCTAAGTTGATTGTTGTACTAGGAGTTTAAAAATTATATAATCAAGCTGCATCTCCAGGTGACCTAGATAAATCCCATAGCTATTGTATCGTCATTTAGTTACATACACTTACGAACTTTGTAGATAAATAGGCATTTTGTATTTTTTTAGAGTAACTCCTCAACAAAAACATAAGGCAATATGTTGGTATTAGCCATTGATGTCGAATATAAAAAATATATAATTTACCTATATAAACAATAACAAAAAAACTGAGATATGTCTCGTTTCTGTCGGGTCTGGGTTTTTTTCTATGGGGCGTGACCGTTCTTCTTTGGCCGGTTATTCGAAAATAACCTTGTATAACGTGCGCCTTTTTACTTATTATAGTATCTTATATAGGATGTCCCAGAACTCAACGTCAAGACGAAACTGGGTGACAGGATTGATTGTAACCATCATGAGAAAAATCAGAAAAAAAAATCTAGAAATTTGGTCAAACTGTAACCATTTTTCGGTTTTTGAGGTTAATTTTTATTATTTTTGTTCATTTAAACTTTGGAACCGTAACCCTAAATAATATTCCTAGAACCACAGTCAAAAATAATGACACAACTGCCCCAAGTTTTCTAGAAATTTTAGATTCAAGTTTAACAAATAGTCTTACTATTTGTTAAACTTGAATCTAAAATTTTCTAAATTTGTCGACTTTGAAAGGCCCTCCTTTCAAAAAGATCTATTAAAGTGCCTTGGCAAGTGCCATTAAAAGTTTGCGCATGTCCACATGTCCATGTCAACATGTCCACTATCCATCTCTCTCATCATTTTGCCGTAAAATTAAAAACCTACCAAGAGTTTTGAGAATAAAAAACATTTGAACTGAGTAAAGTGGGTTAGCAAAAATCGGGTTACTCGAGGTTATTATTTTTTTACTAGTTTTTTTTAGTATGAAACTAACAAGTATTGTTCCATTTTACAATCCTGATTAAATGCGCGAACTTTTAATGGCACTTGCCAAGGCACTTTAGTACATTTTTTTTAAAGGAGGGTCTTTCAAAGTCGACAAATTTAAAAAATTTTAGATTCATAGTTTAACAAATAGTCTTAATTCTAGAAAACTTGGGGCAGTTGTGTCATTATTTTTGACTGTGGTTCGAGGAATGTTATTTAGGGTTACGGTTCCAAAGTTTAAATGAACAAAAATAAAAAAAAATTAACCCCAATAACCGAAAAATGGTTACAGTTTAACCAAATTACTAGGTTTTTCTTAAATGCCCATAATTTCCAAACTGGATGGGATAGATTTTTTTTCTGATTTTTCTCATGATGGTAACAATCAATCCTGTCACCCCGTTTCGGCTTGACGTTGAGTTCTGGGACATCCTGTATAGTAATATCTGTTAGTGGCCATAAGATATTTTTTGACATTTTCTAATGACACCTACGGGACACCTAGAGTCACTTTTTCCCTTAAACCAGCATATGAGACGATAATAAATATCTTCTATATTAAATACATTTTTTTCATAACATTTCGGTCATTTTTTATTTTTTATTATATTTTTTTTTTATTTTTTTTAGCATAACCCTCAGTGGAAGCCTGGAGCTATCCACAAATTTGTGCACAGGTTATTAAAAATTGCTAAGAATCCCGGAGAAGTGGTAGCTAAAAAGAAAAGAAAGGATATTGGTAAGAAAAAGCGCCCCTTAAAAAGGCCATTGTTAGTAGTTCACAAGAAAAATGGAGAATATACCGTTACTATGGAAACAATGAAGAATTACTCGAAACCTAGACAGCTTAACCAGCATCCTTATGAAGATAAACCAGTTATGACTTACACTATTGGAAGGACAGAGGAAGAAAATCGCGCCCGACAAAAAAAGAAAGAACGCGAACAGAGACGTCTTGAGAGAGCTCAGCGTCTTTATCTTCAAAGTGCATTTCAGGACATGTGTCATGAAATTTGTCTTAAGACTTATCAACAGGCATTAGGTATTCTACCGGATGCTGAGGATCCCCAATGCCCTTGTTACCTAGCAGAACTTCGTCCTGACAAAATAAATATGAATGTTTCTTGTTCATGCTCAGAGGAGGCATCTTCTTTTGGCTCTGATACAGATTCAGATGAATGGATTGTCGAGTTTACACCACCAAATGCCACTTTTATTCCTACTTTTAACAGTAAGAAGATCACAAAAGTCGATAATTCGTCACAGTATACATATTTAGATTTCAGAGTGAAGTTATTTGATAGACACGGTAATCCTATACCTAGGTTCTTTAAAGGTCCTGATGGAAAACAGCAATGTAGTGATTTAGGTGGATTTTGGAGTCGTGATCACAAATGGTTGGAAATAAACGTGGATGGATATATTGCCCCCGATGGCCGTTGGGCTCCAAATTATTTTATAGGACCAAATGGAGAGACAGTTGATACTGAAACAGGAAAATTCCAAGCTAATAATGGCAAATGGCTTGTAGTTGGAGTCGATGGGTTCATAGATGGAAAAGGAAGGTGGCATTTTTACCCTAAGCCCAGAAGCATTATGACTCATAAAAAACAACAGAGAACTGAAGAGAGAAAAATTGGCACACAACATAAAAAAGAAACCAACCTTAATAAAACTTTATCCACATGGAGCTGCTTTGGTGACGCTAGTCCTAAAAAATTGTCTACAATGGGCATTGTTGGTCATGGAACTGATAGAAAGTTATTGGCAACAAAGTTACAGGATATAGTTGCACATGGTAAAAAAGTTAACACTCCACATCCGGTTATCAATTCCAATTTTCAATATTCAAAAAAACATAACTACGTTAGGGCTAAGAGTCCGGTGATATCAACAAATTGGGGCACAGAGTATTTCCGGGGGAAGTGCAGTCATCCAGTACCATCAGATAAAGGTGTAGAAGCAGTTGACATATATGGTAACAAAACATATTTTCGTCTTAAAGAGTATAGGAATAAAAGACCTAAACAAAGAATGGCTAATTTATTAAAACAAGGTATAAGCTTGAGTTCTTTTCATGTACCTTGTTTACACTCCTTTATAAGTTCTGAAATCATGAGAAAGCAACAACGAGAGAGACTTAAAATGCTTGCGGCAAAACATGGTGATACCAAAGATTAACAATTGTCTTTACTATGTGTTGTAACAGTATGATGTAATAAGCAATAAATGTAGATATTTAGTTGGTTTGTTCTAAGAAAAATTATGTAACGTCTTTTATCTGTAGGAAAAATTAAATATTTATTTTAACTTATTTTTATCTTTCTGATTTATATTAACTTATATTTTAACATATATTTATAAGAAAAATAAGCGAGAAAAGTAAGTTTTTTTTTTAAAGTTTATTATTTTGTTTTTAATAACAAAATTTAAAGAGGATTTCAAAATTTACTTTTTTATTATGCAGGTATTAGAAGGCTGGAGGCCCGGCGCAATTTCAAAACGTCTTTTGAAGAAGCTTAATGAAGCAAAGCGAACAAAATCCATTGTGGAAGAAATAAAACAAACAAAAAAGGCTAAGAAACGCATCGAAAACAAACCGACATTGATGATAAGTAAAAAAGACGGGGAATATAGGGTTGAGATCCAAACGACACCTGCATTTAACGTGGCAAGCCACGAAGAATACTCTCCCTTGATATATAAAATAGCCAGAGCGGATAATGAAGACAGAATTAAAAAGAAGAATAGAATAAAAAGACGGCTTATAAGGAGAGCAACAAAAGATATTTGGACTGACAACAATAATTCAAAAGTCTGTGATAACGTTTGTCTGGAAGCCTATAAACAAGCTGTTGGGCTACCAAACTGTGGTGATAACAATTTCGAGAACCATTGCAGTGAACTCAAAGGCATTGATTTACTAGATAGTTGCTCCTGTTCCGATAATGATATCAGTTCAAGCTGTGCTTCATCTGAAGTAGATTGGGAAATTTATTTTACTCCACCCTCAGCATGTCAATAATATTTTCTATGTTGTGGTTTCTTTTCGATGATTTAATTAAAAATCTCTGTATTGTCAACTCTTTTTATTTTTATCAAAAAGGTTATTTAACATATCCCATATAACTAGCGAGAGTGTTGTATGCGGGGCTATTCTTAAATATAGAGGTCCAATTCCCTTGTATAATCCATGAACACCTTCAGTGGTGTAAATTTTCTTAAGGCAGTCAAACACACCGTTGTAGAGCAGTTCACCTTTTGATGCAGGACCTGTAATTAAAATAATTATTTTTATTTATCAACACGAAATATATGTACCTAATATAAAATATTAATATTCTAATATTTTTTGTATATTACGTCCAGATAATAACAAATCAAAGGCGCGCCGAGCGTTTAATATACATCCAAATATATACTGAACGCTCGTCGTAAATTTCAAAGTATCGCAAGCAACCCGACTTTGATCCCATTGAGTAATTGACCGCGTTCTCGGTGGATAAGTAAAGCATCGTAAGGAAACCCACCGGTTTATAAAATATTTAAAGAACAGATGAATACCGCCAATACGTACTGGAGTAAAGCGGTGAACTAACTGTCGCATAACCCTCACATAAATGAGAGGGAATCCGTGCCCAGCAGTAGGACGTATATTAGCTGTAACTTACGTAACTCTTCTTTGCTAAGAACTATGATTGGTATTACCACGTGTTGTAATTGTTTCTCTACCTTTTATTACAGTTGTCGAATGTTTAACAGTTTTTGAATTTCAATGGTTGTTTCCTTTTCGGCCGCACAGTAAAGCGACCGATCGGCCTGATGGGAATATCTATCAAAAAATTGATCAAACGGTAAAAAATCACGTTGGCCTTATTTATAAATTATTCGTCTACCGATTTGGTGAACGGGAATAATAAATTTTGATTGGTTTACAGTTTATTGCATTCTCATAAATCTTTAAAAGAATACAAAGGGCGGACGTAATGCCTTTAGGCGTTATCAATCAGTCAACCTAGTTTATCGTTTTACTGAAGTTTGTTGAGCAGTCGCCTAAGTACTAAAATATAGACTTCATGGGAGTTTTTTTTTACACGAAACTAAATATTCATTTCACAATGTAATAATGAGACCCGGCTTTTCTTTTATGGAGTAGGAGTGCGAAGAATCTCTAGGAGTAAAATCGGCGACGAGGTTCGCCACCTGTCAAGTTCTGTTTCCCGAAGGGACGAAAAGTGGATTGCGTAAGCCCGTCAGGATATGTTGAATGTATGTGGAGCAATGGATGATAAGATGGATGGAGTATGCGAAATGATATACGATAGAGGAATAGACGTCTAGATGTATAAATGAGACGAAACGGAAGGGAAAGGATGCCACTGCACGTGATATGTATACAGCTTACTGGTCTGGTGTAGACGAGATCGAGCGGGCATGCCAGGGAGTCGGTATCATCCTTTCAGAAAGAATGGGTGAATGTGTGAAAGAGTAAGAATGTGTGAGCGAATTGTGTATGAACTATGAAAATAACCCTTTGGAATGAAGTGATCGCCACAATGCATGCTTGCATGCATAGTTCTATAAAAATTTATTTAAAAATGTACAAACAAAATTATTGTAAAGTGTAATATGTTTAAAAAAAGTCCCGTTGGGTTTCTTGCTAGTTTTTCCCAGGTCAGAGGTATTTTTCGGACCAGTGGTAAATAAAAAAATGACTTTCAATAAGTGTTTTGTTATAATCAATATTGAATAAAAAATCATTGTATTCCATTCTATTCTATGATTTAGACTTGAAGACTGTGTGGTATAATGTTAAGAAAGGTTTGGTGGATACAGCTACTAAAATATGTGGTATAAGTAAGAGAACGAATGAAAGGAAAAATAATACTTAATGGTGGGATGATGAAGTACAGATGGAAGTAGAAGCAAAGAAGAGAGCATGGCTATATTTACTAGCGACCGAAGATGGTAATTCTGGCGGTATGAAGGATGAAATTGAAAGAAAAAAGGCAGTCTTAAGACATCTAAATAAGAGAGTAAAAGAAGTAGTTATAAGGAATAGGCAATAAAGAACGGATAAGAATGAAAGAAACTGCCAAGGGAAATTCTAGAAATACCTAGTACGTTTGTATGTAATTACTCTAACCCTAGAATGAATGCTATACGAGGCGAGAATGGCTGTATTCTGAATGACGAAATCCGAGTTTATAGAGATGGAACGAATATTTTGAAAGCGTATTTATGAGTGAGGTAACGTTTGAATTCCGAAAGAAGAGGAAAGAGGTACGGAGATAAGTATAGATAAAATAATGAAAGCAATGAAAAGCATGAAAGCAGATAAGGCAGTCGGATATAATAGAGTATCACTCGAAATGCTAAAGGCCGGAGAGGAAGTGGTGGCAGGCCTGCTTTACACCTTATTTAATTTATATTAGAAACAGGCGGGTACCGGAAGACTGATGCTAAGCTGTGATAGTCCCAATATTTTAGGGAAATGGGTCACAACAGGACTGAAAACTACGGTGGAATCATCAATTTGAAAGAGTTATGAAAGAAACTGATGAAAAAATTTGGGATGTGCAAGGTGGAATTAGAAAAGGAATGGAGTATACGGATCAATCAATCAAAATCAAGATTACGGTCTTTTCCATACGAATGATCGAGGATAAGGTTTTGGCCAAAAATCAAAAAGTTATTAGTGCGTTTATGGACTTGGAAAGAGCTTATCACAGAGTGGACAGGGATGTGTTATGGCAAACACTGAACACATTTGGGTTGAGCGCTAGGTTGATACAGGCATTGAAGTCTCTTTATAGGTACTTTACTGCTTGTGTGAGGGTCAACGGGGCCTACTTGGGCTGGTTTTGCATCATTAAGGGTGTCAGACTGGGCTGTGTGGCTTCCCCGTGACTGTTTAACCTATTTATGGACAGTTGATTGGAAACTTTGAAAGTTGAAGAATGTGGGTTAAGAATGGATAAGTTAGCCGTCAAATGCCTTTTGTACGCCGATAATCAAGTCATATTTGTGGGAAGTGCCGTGTAGTGGCGGTCAAGAATATCCACTACCCCATATCCTCCCGTGGGTGTCGTAAAAGGCGACAAAGAGAAACAGGCAGGAGATGGGCAGCAGCATCTTCCTGATAATAGCCAAAATTACAATAAAAAAACTGCGGTTACCAACCCGCTCGCCAAGCGTGGCAACTATGGCAAATACCCCCCTATGAATGTAACAAAGAGACGGCCCCCAGTCCCCGGCGGCCCCGCTATTCCTGGCTACGGTGGCGACAATGGTAACGGCGGGGCAGGGGGTGCTAAGAATCTCCGGTGGAGGTTCGGTTGCCACCTTAGACGACTCGACCTGGCAACGTACAACGCATGCACCCTGAGGACTGACGAGAAGATCGTGGAGCTGGAAGAAGAGATAGACAAGTTGCGCTGGCATATTATAGGATTATCCGAAATCCGAAGAGAGGGGGAGAACACGGTAATCCTCGAATCCGGCAACTTGCTCTATCACCGGGAGGGCGACCATCTGTCCCAAGGAGGTGTCGGATTTATCGTCCACAAGTCTTTCGTTAACAACGTTGTAAAGATCGGGAGTGTGTCGACGAGGGTTGCGTACCTTATACTCAGAATCACCAAACGGTATTCGCTGAAGGTCATACAAGTTTACGCACCAACCTCGGCACACCCCGATGAGGAGGTGGAGGAAATGTATGAGGATATCTCTAGAGCCATGCATTCCTCCAAAACCCAATATACGGTGTTAATGGGAGACTTCAATGCAAAACTAGGCACAAGAGAGAACGGTGAGCTGAAAGTAGGGAAATTCGGAATAGCGCAACGGAACCCAAGGGGCCAGCAGCTGGCCGACTTCATGGAGAAAGAGGGACTCTTTATGATGAACTCTTTCTTCCAGAAGCGGCCCCACAGGAAGTGGACCTGGTCGAGCCCCGACGGTTCGACAAAAAATGAGATTGATTTCATTATGACGACCAGACGACAACTGTTCAGTGATGTCTCCGTGATCGCGAGGGTGAAAACTGGTAGCGATCACCGAATGGTTAGAGGCACACTGAACCTAAACGTTAAGTTGGAGAGGTCTCGTCTAATGAAGTCAACGCTCCGTCCCCCTCGTGCTCTGTTCCAAAGTCCCGAAAACTTTCAGCTCGAGTTACAAAACCGTTTTCAGTGCCTAGAAGACTGCAATGAAGTGGACGATATGAATGACAAGCTCGTGGAAACTGTCCATGCGGTTGGAGCTAAGTTCTGCAAGACCCGCCGCAGAAGAACACAAAAACTCTCCGATCACACTCTTAATCTCATGGCTGTTAGACGGGAGATGAAGCTACATTCTTCAACAGACTTGACAGCATACAGGCATCTGAACAGACAGATCTCCAAATGCATGCGGCGGGACTTACGCAACTTCAATACAGCTCGTATTGAAGAAGCGATCGAGCGGAACCAAGGCTCCAAAGTCTTTGCCAGAGATCTGTCTGCCAGAAAGAGCCAACTGTCAAAGCTGAAGACAGAATGTGGCAGCATCGTTTCCGGGACACCTGAGATTTTGAGTGAGATTGAGAGGTTCTATGGGCAGCTGTACACGTCATCGTTGGAGCCACACGCAAGTGTGAGTAACGATCCAAGAGCGAGTTTCATCCGACACTATTCCGAAGATATCCCGGACATCAGTCTGAGCGAGATTAGTATGGCTCTCCAGCACCTTAAAAACGGTAAGGCCCCAGGCGAGGATGGAATTACAGCGGAGCTTCTGAAAGCGGGTGGAAGACCGGTACTTGAAGTTCTTCAGAAGCTCTTTAATTCCGTCCTCCATGGTGGCATTACACCGGAGGCGTGGAGCAGAAGTGCGGTGGTCTTGTTCTTCAAGAAAGGTGACAACCCTCTTGAAGAACTACAGACCGCTTTCCCTTCAGAGCCGCGTCTACGTGCTGTTTTCGAGAGTCATTACGAATCGTCTCGCGCGCAGACTTGACGACTTCCAGCCTCCCGAACAAGCCGGTTTCCGAAAGGGCTTTAGCACAATAGACCACATACATACCTTTCGGCAAATTGTACAGAAGTCCGAAGAGTACAATTTGCCACTATGTCTGGCGTATGTGGACTATGAGAAAGCCTTTGATTCCGTCGAAATTTGGGCGGTGCTGCAGTCCCTTCAGCGGTGCCAAGTTGACTGTCGGTATATCGAAGTGTTGAATTGCTTGTACAGTAGGGCTACGATGGCTATCCGAGTACAGAATCAGAGTACGAAACCTATCCAATTGCAGAGAGGTGTAAGACAGGGTGACGTCATATCCCCGAAACTCTTCACCGCTGCATTGGAAGACGTTTTCAAGCTTCTGGACTGGAAAGGATACGGTATCAACATCAATGGCGAGTACATCACTCACCTTCGATTTGCCGACGATATAGTCCTTATGGCAGAATCGCTGGAGGACCTAAGCACTATGCTCAATGACCTCGATAGTGTTTCCCAACGGAAAGGTCTTAAGATGAACATGGACAAAACAAAGATCATGTTCAATGTCCATGTCACACCTATGCCGGTAGTTGTTGGGAGCACTAAGCTCGAAGTTGTTGACGAGTATGTTTACCTGAGACAAATAGTCCGACTAGGTAAGTCCAATTTCGACCGAGAGGTCAATCGACGCTAGACGAGCTACGACACATATTCTCGTCAGACATACCTCAAAACCTGAATACGAAATTGTACAACCAGTGCGTGTTGCCAGTGATGACTTACGGAACTGAGATGTGGTCCTTCACTGCTGGCCGTATGAGGAAGCTCAAGGTCGCTCAGCGAGCTATGGAGAGGGCTATGCTCGGAGTTTCTCTGCGTGATAAACTTAGGAATGAGGATATCCGCAGTAGAACCAGAGTAACCGACATAGCCCAACGGATTAGTAAGCTGAAGTGGCAGTGGGCCGGCCATATAGCTCGAAGAACCGACAACCGATGGAGAAGAAAGGTTCTCGAGTGGCAGCCTCGTACCGGTAGGCGAAGTGTAGGGCGTGGACGAGATGTAGAGATGTCCCACGAGATGGAGTGACGACCTGGTAAGACATGCAGGAAGTCGATGGATGCAGGTGGCTCAGGATCTTGCTTTGTGGCATTCTTTGGGGGAGGCCTATGTTCAGCAGTGGACTTGTGAAGGGCTGTAATGATGATGATGATGATGATGATTTGTGGGAATGAATGTGAACGCAACTAAGACGAAAGTGATAGTTTTTGAAACAGAAGAAACTAAAACGATAATATCGTTATGTGAAATAAGAATAGAAGGGAAGTTTGTCGAGCAAGTAGATGAGTTTGTGTATTAGGGATGCGTAGCTAAAAGGGATGGTAGATATGATAAGAAAATAGAACGACGAGTGAACGCAGAAAATAGAGTAAATGGGCCTCTAAACTCAATTATAGGAGAAAACAGAATGTGTCAAAAAAGGCACGTATGTCGATTCACAATGCTGTGTTAGTCCCTCCCTACCTTAATAGATGGTAGTTAAAGATGGGTGTGGCAGAAGAAGCACGCGAGTAGAATAAACGCTGTGCAAATGCGGTCATTAACGAGTATGTTAGATTTTTTCTTTGCATTGTTCTATATTAATTTAATAGATTGAAACAAGTAGTTGCGCGTCGCCCTGGCCAAAATCGCGCGGCATCGCCAATATGCTACTAAGAAAAACAAAGAAAAAGATTTTGGTCAAATTACCCTGATTATAAAGACGTGTATTGACTACGTCCAGTGGCGTTTCAACAAGCACACACAAAACTCCGCATACAATGCTCGCAGCGAACGCGAGCGTGGCGCGAGAACGATTGAAGTAACCGAGTTCTAAAAGTTTTTCTTTCACTCTGAAATATTTAAACTGCTATTTATTATTCGGGGAGTAATTAAATAATTATAGCTATGTTGAGTGGACACATCAAAAGTACACAGATATTTGTATAATTATTATCTTTATAGCCTAAAAGATATAACCGTTTGTGCACCTGTTAGTGATCGTGTAACTTTGAGTGACCAACCGATTTAGTTCACATTCACACATGTATTCCCTTTGTCGAGACGATGGTTCATAGCTATGCTAGGATCCGATACTAAGGTGGCGACATAGTCAAGCTACTATCAATTTGTGTTATAAAAATATCAAATTAATGGACCAGAATGACTCATATTCATAATATGTCAAAAATGATTGCAATCATCAATTTGCCATAAGTCGTATACGTAATCACATAGCCGTAGTGTCAAAAAAGAAAATCACTAATGCTGCACTCGATAGGAGGCGCTATAGCAGAGTTATTAATAAATTTTATGTTTACACTGCAAGAAGTACTAAGTGAATTTGAAGTGAAACTCATCGCGTTACCTACCGAAAGGGCAGAACATCATCTACCAGGCCAGCTAGAAACATAATATATTTTCTACTCTGTTGCCTAATTATAGTTTAGGTGAGTCATGCTGTATGGAGAAGTGATGTCCTAACTAGATGGAGTGATGACCCGTTAAGAGATGCAGGATGTCGATGGGTACAAGTGGCTCAGGATAAGTTGTGGCATTCCTTGGGATCGATGGATAGGATGTTCAGCAATGGACTTGTGAAGGGCTGTAATGATGATGATAATGATGCAATGTTTACTAAGACGACCATACCCTGGTTATAAAGGCGAACTGCTGTGACGTCAAACGGGCAAATGGCCAGAGCTACCATCACACCGCTGAGTGCGCTTGCAAAGAACGCAAGCCCGAACGGCGATTGCTGGCATATGCCGTACGATTGTAAAACTTCTTTGGCACTGCACAAACAGTTAAGTTTATTTTGTAAAAAGAAATTGTCAGTCGTTCATTTCTAATAACCCGTATACAGACCCAGTATAATTACAGGCTATGTGTATTGCATTTTAGTCCTCTGAGGTAACAACGAAATTGTAGCTGTCTTTGTTTGAAGCAGGTCCGCATGGACTGCAGTAGTCACTTACCATTGAGTGGGCAGTAAGTTCGTTTGTCACTTCAGTTCGTTGATTCGTTGTACGAATCGAGTCATTCGGGTCAATCATTCATAAGGTTTATTTCGGGTTTCTGTACTCTGTGATCTCTGAGACCCGCTCGGTTCCGTTGTTCGCAGTTCGCAAGCAAGCTTATGTATACTCTAAGTTTGTGATCTCATCTTAGCTTGCTTCTGTGCATAATATATTCTATGATCACAAACAAATAATTCCTTTTACCGTTTATTTAGTAGTTAAGAACACTAAAAACACTATGCAATAGTGTTCTTAACTATTAAACTGTGTGATACCTAATTAATATTTGAATATTATATAATATTACATATTTACTGCTTACTAAAAATTGAAAAGCTTTTGTATCTCTTATGCATGTGCAAGAAAAGATAAAATACTAAAATAGTCTTGTACCAACAGTTGAAAGTAGCTTTCATGATTATCTGAAACTCACAAAAGTTCTATTTCCTGATAATATTAGTATAGATTGCTTAAAGCAATCTATCGCAATTTTTTTGAATAATTCTTGTAAGTAGAAAAAAGTGTATATGCGTAAAACTATTGTAATCACAATTCGCAAAAAAACAGTCACAGATCACAGGTTAAAACGTTCTGTCAATCTTTTGTTCCGGATCGTTAAAAATGATTGACATCAATACTTATATCGACCCGGGTCAAACAACAAAATCGTTTACGGTTGACACACGTCTTGCTTTTATAAAAATGAGGATGTGGTTCAAGAAAACCAAGGTAGTATTTTTAGGTAAAGTGAAGCTACACATCCGCCCAGCTGATAGGGGATCGGTTCGGCTTTTTCTTGCACCTGGCTTAAATGGGATAGTTATAAGGCCATATAGGTATTTCTTTTTCATATTATCTTTAACTCTGGGTACTTAACTAGTGTATATACTTATACTTGAATTTAAATTTTAAGTAACTACGTAGGGGGAGGCGGGGCAGATTGATGCAAGGGGCAGATTGATTCACCTAACATATATCATAATCGGTTAGATGTAATCGAGTCGTGACAACATTATAACTTGTCTATGCCTGCCTTAGAGCAGCACTTGTGGCCGCGCCGCCATCCATTTAGCCGATGGCTTTAGACGAGATAGTTTGTGTTTTGTGTTCGCCCGACTAAAAAAACACGTGGAATATAAAAGAGATTCAAGCACTTTCTACAATATCTTTGAAGTATTTATACTTATTAAAGGTGAGTTATTCCATCCATAAATGGAAGTTTAAAGATTTTAGCTCAATAAATCAACATAAATAAATATGATGTTAACGTTTTACAAAAACTTCTGTTGGGGCACAATGATACGGTAAACTGTGGGGCACTTTGATGCGTATCATTCTGCCCCAATTTAAAATTTTATTAATATTTGTTAATTTAGCGATTCTTTTTTTTTTCAGAAAATGGTGCGAACCTACAAACCAAAGGCTGAACGATGCAATATAAACTAAGAAAGTATGAAGACTGCCATATCCGACGTTATATCGAAGAAATTATTTATTCGAGTAGAAGCTGGTAAGTATAACGTTAAAGCTGCAACACTGCAACATCGTATCGAGAAATTTCTAAAATTTTTTCAAGATAATTAAGCATCATCGTCTAAATCATATAGCTCTAAATACACTGTTGCTCAAGTATTCTCGAAGCAAGAAGAGAATATGCTTAGAGAATATTTGTTGAACTGTAGCAAAATGCACTACGGGTTGTCCTTACAGCAACTTTTGGTTTTGGCCTATGAATTTGCCGAATACTTAGGTTGCAAATATCCAGAATCATGGAAGAAAAATAAATGTGCTGGGAAAGACTGGTCAAGAGAATTTTGAATGAGGAACCAGGAGCTGAGCCTTAGAAAACCAGAAAATACAAGCGCAGCACGAAGTTTCGCATTTAACAGAACAGCAGTGAATGATTTCTTTGACAATTATGAGCGTGTAATTCTACGGTATAAATTTGCTCCTGATCGTATCATAAACCTTGACGAAACTGGTAACTTCTGTTTTATCTACACCTAAAGTTCTGGCTGAAAAGATACAGAGGCAAGTAGGATAAATGGTGTCTGCCGAAAGGGGAGAGCTAGTTACATTTTGCGGAATAGTAACTGCAACAGGTGTTGCCCTTCCTCCTGTCTATGTCTTTCCTCGTGTTCATTTCAAAGACCATTTTTTAAACGGCGCTCCGGTTGGAAGTCTTGGTTTATCAAACAGGAGTGGCTGGATGACGGCAGAATTCCATGTTGAAGTTCTTAAACATATTTAGCGGAACACATCATGTACCAAAGATAATCCAATTTTAATTATTTGTGACAACCACGAGTCACATGTTTCAATTCAAGCAGTAAATTTTTGTCGCGACCATGGAATCGTTTATCTATCCCTTCCGCCACACACATCCCACAAACTACAACCACTGGATATTAGCGTTTTTGGCCCCTTTAAAAGCAAATTGAAAATAGCTTTCAACGATTGGCATATTCGAAATGTTGGTAAAACTTTATCTATCTATAATATAGCAGAGCTTACCAAATCGGTCTTCCTAGAATCTTTTACGCCAAGAAACATTACAAGTGGCTTTTCAAAGCCAGGGATTTGGCCATTCAACAGACTAGCTTTTGGGGATGCCGATTTTGCTCCGATAGAAGTTTTTGATGCGAGATCTCAGAACGAAGGTGATGACTGCTGGCTGGATTTGTAGAGACTAGAAGTTGATTTTGTGGGAATCGAGACAAATCAAGAGAGAATGAATGAAAACAGTGCAGGAGACGAGATTTTAGGTAGTGAAGCCGATCCTCTCAATCACCAGTCGGGCATTGCTGCACCTCCAAACCTTGCTTCATCATCTTCCAGCGTTACTTCATCTCCAAATGTTTTTCCATCGACTTCTGCGAGTTTTGTCCCCTGAAGCTGTAAGGCCATACCCAAAAATAGTTACGAATAAAAAACCTCTAGAAAAGGAAGAGAAAAAGGGAAATCTAGGGTTTATACTGAAACACCGGAAAAGAACAGATTGGAGATATTACAAGATCAAAAAGAACTAATGCGGCAACTGAAAATGATGAAGGAGAAAGCAAAAGCTTTGAAAACTGCAAAAAATTTATTGGGACTAACGGAAACTAAGAAATATAGAAAGAAAAGAGTCTGTTTACAATCACAGTCTGATACTGAATCTAGTCAGAATGAGTCGATGAAATTATGTGATGACTGCGATAATGATCTGGATGAGCTACTTGATGAGGTAGCTAAAGAACATAGTTATGCCCCTGATCCCGAAAATATAAACATTGGATATTTCTTGCTTATTAAATTTGATAAGAAGAAATCTACTATCTATTACGTGGCCAAAGTCTTGTCCAAATACTATTTGACCGAGTACCAAGAGTCCTACCTCAGAAAGAAACCAGGATCATGCGTTTTTGTTTTTCCGAATGTAGAAGACTAAGCTAGCGTTGATTTCCGAGATGTAGATTTACAACTGCCTGGACCAAATTTTACAAAAGGCTTTTGTCGAACATCATCTCACTATACTTTTTCAGTTAATTTAAGTGCCTATAAGGTGCAGTAGAAAAATTTAAAATGTATCGTTGTTGTTACGTTTGGTGTTTTTTTTATTAAGATGGATTTACATCAAAAGAAAACTAAAAGTATTTTTGTCTTTAATTATAGAAAGTTTCTATGAAGAAGATATATGGTTAAAATGACATTTTTGAATCAGAAATGTGCTTTATACTTAAAACTATAGACTGTGATCTCTGAACAATAAAAGTATTATTAGCATACTAGACTTTCAAATTAATAATATTTGTATACAACTTTTAGTTTGTATCTAAGTGCCCCGTGGGTGGGGCACAATGATACAAATCCATTTTTTTACTAAAAGCTTTATATTTTTTATACATTAATTAGACAGATTCTTGTGATTACTTTTGTTATATTTATAGATGTAGCAATGCAGAAAACATAAAAAATATAAATTTTATCGTTATTTAAGCACTTAAAAGTGACTTTAAATTTTTATGCATCAATCTGCCCCACTTCCCCCTAATATTTTCAATGTTTGTATTTTTTTATAGGATAAGGGTGACAAACGAGCACACAGTCCACCTGATGGTAAGTGGTTGCTGTGGCCCATAGACATCTACATCTATCTTCGATTAAGAATCAAAATGCAGATGCGTTGTCACCCGTGAGGGCTAAGATGGAATGCCTCGTTTCCAGTAAAAAGGGTCTCCGGTTCTCTACACTCACCATATGAAACACAGCAGCATTAAGCTGCTATTTTACGCTGGTATTCTGTGAGAGCGTGGTCCTTCCCCGGTCGAGCCGACCCATTCGTGCTACAACCATAATATAGCTGCAGCATGGCTCTACCACGTATAAAATATTAAATAAATAATTATATAAAGTAATAATATAAAGTATCCCAAATATTAAAGAAATAAATAAAAATACCTGAGACCATAAGATTGTTGACGTATCACATAGTTGCCTTTTACGACACCCACTCTACAAAACGAGGAGATGGGACTATCTCTTATGTCGCCGCCATATAGCTTTTGTTTTATAATCTGTAATGCGTGGCTTTCAACTAAGTCAATATCATCACTACTCATATTTAAAAAGGTAGTACTTTCATCACGCACTTTGTAGGTTTTGCAGTGCCCGACCATCGGTAAAACTTTTAATTTATTCCAGATACCAAAATATCACAGTTATGTAACTTTTTGTTTAATTTTTTTGTTGCATTTATTTTAGTCCTTGGGATGACAATTTATTTGTGGCTATATGATGTATAAAGTTAGTTACTGGTAAGGTTGCCAACCCTACTATATATTATAGTACAGACCCACTACAATGTCCCAATATCACATTTCTAAAAAAAATTGTATAATTAACAGAATCAGGCATTACTTTGCGGAAATTCATTATATTAAAGTTGGAAAAATTTACTTAGCCAATATCCGCTCAATAAAATAAAATGTTGTGTCTTACCTAGTTTGAAGAGGGAGGTGCGCTAATTGCAGCTGCTTTAATAAAAAAATAGTAGTTGAAACTTGAATCTACTATATTTCAATGTGGCGTGAGGATGTCAAGAAAGGATCAAAGCAGCACAAGTATTCCTTTAAAACATAAAAGACCATTTTGAAACATATTCCATAGCTAAATCAAGTTTAAGTCACCTGTATCCATCGACTTCATAATCCAACGACAACGACAATACTTTAATGGTTTCGAAAATACTGTATTTGAAATAAAAAAGGTGGCAACCCTAGTAGCGGCAGTGATGTTCTCGTATAAATGCAATAGCTGTAGAAGCCACTTGGGTGAACTTTAAGTTCGATTTACTCCAATACAAAAAAATATATGAGGATATCAAAAACTTACGTGGAAAATGTGGTTAGTTGTGCAGCGCTGCCGACCGCCAGCCTTGCGCAAGTCGCATTAACGCCGGCGAAAAAACCTTTTACACCTTCAGTCTTGTAAATCGTGATGAAAGCATCCATCATCCCTGGGGAAAAATAATAAGGATATTAAATACTTGAATCTTATTATCATCACTATACATGAGGTGGTGACACTCTACCATATATTTTTTGAGAATAAGGGTGACGAACGAGTTTATGGTCCACCTGATGGTAGGCGGATAATATGGGTCATAGACATCTACATCTATCATCAATTAAGAATAAAATGCAGATGATCTGTCACCCCTGAGGAGTAAGACGGAATGCCTCGATAGCAGTAAAAATGGTCTCCGGTTCTCTACACACACCATACGAAACGCAGCAATTATTAGACTGCTGTTTTACGCTAGTATTCTGTGAAAGCGTAATTCTACACTGGTCGGGTCGGACCATTCGTTCTGCATCATAATGCTGCAGCGTGGCTCTCCTACGTAAATATATATGTTTAAACTAAGTATATATTTAGGATAGGAACTAAACTGGGGTTAAAATAAGGCAAATATAACTAGAAAAGGAAAACTTTAAAAATCTGTTTATTTTCAAAAGGTCATTAATGCAAAGAAACACGAAAAAAATAACTAAAACAAATAAACACGTACGTGCGAGTCCGAGAAACGCATTATCTACCACGTATTTGAACCAAACGGTTTGCTTCGTCGTTCATAATGAGAACAGCTTAGAAGTGGAATAATTTACCAGCATCTGTCCTTCCATCCGATTACAATGGAACTGTCTTCAACCGTTACCGTTACAGCCTATTAAAGTCCACTGCTGAACATAGGCCTCCCGTATAGATTGCCTCATATTGAAGATATTTGCCATAGCTGCCACGTTTGACAACCGTAGTTATTTATTTTTAGTCGTTATTAGGATCATTTACCGTTAGGTGAGACCATAGATAAATATATATGTAGCAAGGGTGAGACAGTATTAACACTGGCATATATTAGTTAAAAAAGAGGTGATATCTTGGTACATTGCTGATTTTTTTAATTTTTAATTGTTATTTTTTATGCGCCGTCACAGTGTACTTTAACGAGCTGATTATAATGATAAAGAAGAAGGACAAATTCAGATCCAAAGAAGTAAACAAGAAATTGATTACGAATAGTCTATTCATCAAAATTTGATTCAATAAAAATTTCCAAATATAAATAGTGAATAGTACATTTATTACCATCGTATCGATGCTGTCGTCCGACAGCTATACTGGGGTGTGCGGCGGCTTGTATCCGCGTCTTGACCACGGACGCTGGATTTGCAGCCAGACCGCTCATCACACCGCTGGCGCTTGACCAGAATATCGTTTTGTTAATATTGATGTCTCCGTCCTTTGACTTCGTCCAGCCTTGTACTTCTGCCACGTGGTACATGCCTAACCTGAAGAAAATCGTATACTTATTTCAGTAAGAATCAGTAATGACATTAAAAAGTATCAAGGTCCCGGATAATAAACAGTCATACAGAATACTAGCGTAAAATAGTAGCTTAATGCTGCTGTGTTTCGTATTGTGAGTGTATAGAACCGGGAACCCTTTTTACTGGAAACGAGGCATCCCATCTCAATGCTCAGGGGTGACAACGCATCTGCATTTTGATTCCTGATCAACGATAGGTGTAGATGTCTGTGAGCCATAGCATAAACTTACCACCGGGTGGATGGCATGTTCGCTTATCACCCTTATTCCATAAAAAAGAACTCTATGCTATGTTTTTTTAAAGGTAACTAACAATCACATTGTCCACCTATAAAAGGTAATTGAATACGGAGATGCTTAAGTTCATTCGGAACAAAAATTAATAATTTTTAATCTAGAGGTAGCCGTGGTTAACTATGACATTGGGACGTCATACACCTCAGTCCCCCCCGTGACCATGGGTGCTGTAAAGTGCTTGAAACGTCGGGAATGTAAAATAAGTTAATATACGCGATAAAATCCGTAAAATAAGTTTCATTTAGATATGATTCTTGTTAGGTTAGTAATCAATTGATTCTTAATCGATAGATGTACGCAGATTCGTTGTCGCCCTTAGTAACTAAAATGAAATGTATCAGTAAAAAAGTCTACAATATTGTCGTCTTCCTTTTTTATTGGCCCGTGAAAGGTATAAGTCGACTGATGGACATGAGCATCACCCACTTGGTAGAAGGGAGGATTTGCCTTAACCCGTCACACTTGGCAGGCGGTTTGACATATCTCTTGTCATCTTTGACGCTGCTGTCCGTCGTCGGTCTGCGGGGTTAGCTAAGTTGACTATCTACTTATAAACGAAATTAATGATTAGTCACGTGACATAACGTTGCTAAGGCATTTTCATCCATTTTATAGCTTTCTATTAGCGTTAACGTTTGTAGAAAATTAACTTGTGTGACTTTATTAAGAGCTTGTTAAAATCAAGGATGATCAAAAAGGATGGAAAACATTATCAGCAGTACTGGCCATTTCAAATCAAAACAATTTTTGTTTGGCTATGAATTCTAATTTCAAAGTAATTTTATTTTTAAAATATGGAATTCTTTATTCAAAATTAGTCATTTGTTTATTGATTAGCATTATGTTTTCATCGCATTTTAATTTTTTTCGTCATCATCAAAAATAATAATAATTTATGTACCGCGCAAGCATTGGCTCAGTTTGGAAAGTGTTATTCTAATCTAATCACCAATGTGACTATTATTAAAGCATTATAGTAAGAATAATAGGTAAGTGCATGATGAATACCTCACTGAATTCATTGTGAATCCCAAGAGCATTGCTGGCGCGAGTCCTTTTTGTAGGGCCAGCATGCCGTCGTTCCTTGCTATTACGTACAAAGCGTGAAATATTCCTCGATAACGAGCAGTATGCTCATTTCTAGCTCGAAGTTCCCCTTGCAGTTGAAACCTAGTTTTCACTACGTCCATGGGGTTAGTAAAGATAGTTGCCCCCGCGCCAGCTAAGCCGCCGATCACGAACTCCATAGTGGTTTAAATGTCTCTCTGAAAATGGTAGTTATTTTTTATAGAATAAGGTTAACAAACGAGCACACAGTCCACCTGATGGTACGTGGATGCTGTGGCCCATAGACATCTACGTCTATCCTGGGTTAAGAATCAAAATGCTGATGAGTTATTACCTCTGAGAACTAAAATGGAATGGCTCGTTTTTTTTTCTATTAAAGTCAGTGCTTGACTATTATCCCTAAAACTATTATGTAAACAGGTTCTCTGGTTCCCTACAATCACCATCCATTCGAAACACAGCAGCTGCTATGTGTTCGAGACGGCCAAAATGACTGTTCACAACGGCAAAAATGACTTTAAACAAGAAAGTGATTAAAGAATATTAAAGTGTTTTAAAAAGTGAAATTAGCAAAAAATCGAACAAATTGTGTTTTAATATAGTTTACCATGTATTTACAACTCTCAATATGTTTGTATAGAAGGTCGATTTGACAATAGTTAATATAAACAACTTTATTTTGTTTAAGAAAATATCGACCAATCACAGCGCGCCGCGCTATAGAACTTTCTGGAAATTTAAATTAACTGCGTAATAGTTTTAAGCAAAAATTAATGAGAATAATTTTATGTCTGAAAAGAGTTGTAAATATGGTATTTAGTTAGCATATGGTGTATAGATTGAAATAAGTAAATAGATAATTTATGTAAATAAACGCATTTGAGAGATATAGTAAAATTAAAGATTTAATGTGCACTTTTGTTATGTAAATTAGGTACATTTTGATTAATAACTTTTTGAATGTAAATATATCAAGTAACCCTTATCACATAATGATAAAGGACCAAAATGCCTCTTTTATAGTGTATAGCGTGTTAATGTAAAAATTAGCATTATATAGAAAAATTGCGATTTGTGCAAAATACATAATGAAAATGTTTGATAATAAAAGGGCAAAACCGGAAATTGGCAAGCGGCTCTCTATAGAGTATAGCCGAAGTCTACCTTATGGGGGCAAATCATAGTAACATTGTAGTAGGAAGAACTACCAGTAACAAGCAGCAGTATCCGGTAGTAGCTGAAGTGACTAGTAGCAGAACACAGTGAAAAGTTAAAGTGAAATAGAAAAGTTTAGCTAGCCGAAAAAGGTCGTAACTGAAAAATAGCAGTTACACATAGTCGGAAAAAGTGGCAACTGAAAATTCTCAGTTGCACATAGAAAAATAGTGTCAGCTAGCCAAAAATAGTGGTAACTGATATTCGCAGTTACATATAGTGAAAAAGTGTTGGCTAGCTGAAAAAAGTGGTAACGGAAATTTCGCCGTTACATTTCGTGAAAAGTGTTAGCTAGACGGAAAAAGTGGTAACTGATATTCGCAGTTACAAAAGTGTTTAAATTCAACTAATTTTAGTTGATTAATAGCTGCTAGTCAATAGTGTTAGAAAACCAGCTGCTACCAATAGAAATTTTGGATACTACCAATAGAAATTTGTTACTTTCAATAGATATTTAAAATTACCAATAGAAATTGTAGAGAATACCAATAGGAACTTGTTACTGCCAATAGAAATTTGATATTCCCAACAGATATTTTAAAAATACGAATAGAAATTTTAGAAAACCAATAGAAATTTTAATATTACTGTGTGTTTAATTAAATCTGTGTTTTAAAATATATAGTGAACATTCATAGTTGAAAAATAGTGATAAATAAATAACAGTGTAAAATCTCGCGACAAATTAATTAGTCGATCCGCTGGCCACTCCCTTGCTATTTTAATTTACAAATCGTGCATTTTAATTTTGAACCTCAGTCCACAGTTTATCCGCAGCAACCAAAGAGACGGCAGTGAAAGACGGCAGTGAAAGACGGCAGTTGGAGGAGTCTGGAACCTACAGGTGTAGGACGTGAGCGACTCGCGGGGTATCTCCGACAACATTTACTCCGGAGATTTTAGCCCGTCCGGCACATTTTATGGTCCTTCGAGCCGGATTCTTCCACCTGTACTGCCGGCTGGACCATTTTATGGTCCTTCGAGCCGGATCCTTCCGATTGAACTGCCAGCCGGACCATTTTATGGTCCTTTGAGCCGAATCATCCGTATACACCGGACCACATACGCTGGTCATTCGAACGGGATTCGTCAATCCGTTAGTATTTCGGAACCGGGTAAATAATCAATACCGTTTTAAAGTTGCTGAAATTTCAGAATCAAGATGCCGATCACTCGTTCGCAAGGAAGGGGAACCATGGCGTGGACTGTCGGTCTGGATGATGGACCGTCGGACAATACCGACACCGTCCGCCACCAGATGCCACCACGCTCACCATCCACAACAGAAGGCGCTGAGGCGCCAGCTTGCCCCCGCGATGAGGGGTTACTCCTGCCTGTGCCAGCCGTTGTTAAAGCCGGTACACCGAAGCAGAGAGAACAGATAGCTTGCCCCTGCGATGGGGGGGTACACCTGCCAGTGCCAGCCGTTGTTAAAGCTGGTACACCGAAGCAGAGCAAACAAATAGAAGGCAACGATGACATTCGCTGTGCATCACCGCCAACAGCCCGGGTATATTCCCGCGCCGAAGAACCACCAAGGGGCCACACCGATAAAAGTACAAGGTCAAAGAAGACCACTCGGCCCAATAAAAGGGTTTTGAAGGCTCGTGAGCAAGTGCTGAGAATAAAATTGGAACTCGCACAGATCTCATTACAAATGGCTGAAGAAGATGATGAATCGGACGACTATGATGAGGATGGTCACTCCAAAAGTGAGTATGTCCGATCTTGGCTCGAAAATTCTGTAGCCAAACAAAAGCCAACGCAAGGCGCAACCACCGGTGGGGAGGCCCCACTTAATAAAAACATCACAAAGCCACCCCCGGAGGTTGTCGACCTCAGTGAGCCGCCGATGAAGCTCACAAACAAGGATTCGAAGGTTGATGAAGAAAGGGAGCTCCTACCTGCTGTATCAGAGCTCACCTACCAGGATCCCAATGCTGAAAATATACCGAAGAGTCCCGTACCTCAGAAGGCTTGCCAGGACTCCAAGGTTGATGAAGACAGGGGGCTCCTACCTGCTGTATCAGAGCCCGCCTACCAGGATCCCCAACCGGAAGAAGCAACCAAGAATCCCATAATAAAAAGACCTAACCAGGCACCTGTCAGCAATGAAGACAGGGTGCTCCGACCATTCATATCGGAGCTCACGTCCGCTATAGCCGCACTCGCTGATAAACCAAAACCAGAGAGTGCATCGTCAAATACTTTCGCAGCATCCAAAGCGATAATGACACTGCCGAGCTTTAGCGGAGCACATACTGAATGGCTTTCGTTCCGTGCCATTTATGAAACAACCCGAGGCTACTTCAATGACATAGAAAATACTGCTAGACTACGAAGAAGTCTACAAGGAAGAGCCTTGGAAACAGTTAGTTCGGAACTCATCGGGCATGCTAAACCAGATGAGATTATGCGAGAACTGGAGCTACAATTTGGGCGTCCAGATTCAATCGCGCAAGCAGAAACCGATAAATTACGGGGATTGCCACGCTGTACAGAGGCACCCAGAGATATTTGTACATTCGCGAGCAAAGTGAGGGGAAGCGTCGTCACACTTCGAGCGCTCAAGCGAGACCATTACCTCGTTAACACAGAGCTGCTACGACACCTCACAGACAAACTGCCAAACTCTATACGCGCGCAGTGGTATAGAATTTATACAGAAAAGTATGACTCAAGACCGGACCTCGGTTCCTTCAATGAATTTATCACCGAACAAGCTCGCTACTGTAGTGCATTTGCGCCTCCTGAGATCATAAGCGGAGCGCAAAATAATCGTCCAGTGCATAGGACGCACACGGCTACCACTAAGCCGTCTCCGAAATGCAGTGTGTGCGAAAAAGAGGGTCATTACGGATCCGACTGCAACAAGTTTAAAGAGGCAGATATTGATAAAAGATGGCAACTCGCCAAGCAAAGGAATTTATGTTTCCGGTGTCTGCGTTATAGAAGTCAGACACACAGATGCAAAACCACGAAGTGTGGAATAAAAGGATGCAACGCGACACACAATCGACTCCTTCATAATAATAGAAAGGAAAAGACAGAGGGCCCACTAAAAGAACCTCAAGAGACAGTGGCAAACTCATTCGCTGTATCAAAGCATCAAGCTTACTTGAAGATAATTCCAGTTCGAGTAATTGGACCGGCGGGAGCAATAAACACACACGCTCTGCTGGATGATGGGTCGACAGTCTCGTTAATGGATCAAGAGATTGCCGATCAAATTGGAGCTAAAGGGCGGTTGGACCCATTCAAGATCACAGCTATCGGGAACACTACCCTCGATTCGCCGGACTCCCAAAGAGTCAAAGTGTCACTAAAGAGTCTCCATAGAAAAAAGGTGCCATTCAGAGCACGCACGGTCGCCAGCCTAAACTTGGGGCCGCAGACTGTGCGTGCAACAGACATAGAAAATTGTAAGCATTTGAAAGGCTTAAAGGATCAATTGACATATGATTCAGGCAACCCTAGGATCCTGATAGGACAAGACAACTGGAGACTCTTAATAGCCACACAAGTACGCAGAGGTCCACCGCACCAGCCAATAGCCTCGCTCACAGAACTGGGATGGGTGCTACGCGGGGCGCACACTAAAGCCCCGCATCAGCGCGTCAACACGGCCAACGAGCTGTACACAAGCGAGGAGAATATAAATGACCAACTCCGCGAATACTTCGCGCTGGAATCTTTAATGATAAATCCGAGAAAACCAGATTCCGATCCAGAGAAGCAAGCCGAAGAAATACTAATAGCAGCAATAGAGGACAATAGTAAAGTGGACGACTGGCGCTGGGTACCCACAAAATTGAATATAGCTGACACCGCTACGAGGGACGTACCACCCAATTTCGACTCTAACCACGAGTGGTACAGTGGCCCATCATTTCTATACAAAGAACCGTCAGCATGGCCAACAGAACGACCCACGTCATCCGAACCTACTGGTGAAGAAAGATCT